TTTGAAGGAAAGAATCATGGCTTCACAAGGTTTTTACAGATATGACAGTGACTTTTTCCAAAAGACGAGTATTCCTGCGGCTCGGCATAAGCCCATTAGTTGTATACTTGTGGGTTTGCCTTTATGAATCTGTCAGCTGGACATTTACTGTATTGTCTTGTGGGCTCCAACAGACACATACTAGGGTCACCTGTGAAGGAGCCTCAACCGAAGGAAGAACTACCTTCATCAGAAGGGCCTCTGGGCATGGCTGTGTGGCATTTGCTGGGTTGGTGATTGATGCGGAAGGGCCCAGCTCACTATGGTTCTGGGTTGTATAAGAAACCAAGCTGAGCAAGCCATGTGTGCAGGAGAGTTTTATGTCAGCTTGGCACAAGCTAGAGTCACTTGGGAAGAGGAAACCTCACTTGAGAAAATGTCCCCACTGGATTGTGCTATGGGCGAGCCTACTGAATTATCCTGATTGATGGTTGATTGTGGGAGGGCTTAACCCATCACAGGTGGTACCACCAAGTGGGCCTGGGTTGCAGAAAAATAAGCTCTCAAAGCTGAGCAAACCGTAGGAAGCAAGCCACTAAGTACTATTCCTCCATGGTCTCTTCAGTTCCTAAAACTACGGTTCCTGCCTTGATTTCCTTACTTGGCTTCCTTCGGTGACTGACTGAACCTATAAGCCAAATAAACCCTGTCTTTCACATGTTTGTTTTGGTCAGTATTTTATCATGGCAACTGAATTCACACTTAGACAGTAGAGTAAATATTTTTAACTATACACAAAGACTTTAGATTGCATTCTGATACCTATTTTTAAATGACACTTTTGCTTCAATTGGTTAAAATGGAAAAAAAATCTACAACTGGTTACTGGTGCTATTGAAAAACACAAAACCACTGAACAAAAGGAGCTCTAAATGCATTAAAGAAAATACATTGAATAGAAACATATAGTTATACATAATGCATATGTGCCCTCAGGATATAGAGAACAGCAGTCCATGTGGTACAGAAATTAAGCTACACAAAGTCAAAAATCATTTTAGCTATCTGTTACTGGTTAAAAATAATATCTCATTTCCCTAGTACTCCAGTACGGTCCAGGAAGGCAAGGGAAATACACGCTCTTGCCCTCTCTGGTCGTCTGAGTCAGAAGAGGGGCTTTTACAGATGCAGTGATGCATTCTTCCAAAGCCCTGCTGGAAGTCACAGGACCCCACTGAGAGGGTCAGGCCCTCGTGAAAACCAGGAGGGGTTGAGGTTTTAGAAATTCCTTCCAACTCCCATGCTTCTGCCTTTAGGCATCTTTCAAAATGGCAAATGAATAGACATTTCTTGGAAGAAACAAACCAAACACCCTTTGAGGATAAGGGGGTTAAAGAAGAACTGGGCTCTGAGTCTGTGGTTTATCTGTGAACTCACCAGACACGGCTGAGCCTGCAGAACTGCCACTTCAGTCCCCTACCTACGACCACCGTCCCATGACACCACTCACGTATGGGGGAGGAAATGTGGAGAACCACTCTTGAACCTGAGCTCAACCCCAGGACCCACATGACTAAAGGAGAAAACCAACATCCATAAATTATCATGGTAATGTGCCTACTTTCTTCCCCATCTCTATTTCTTCACACACACACACACACACACACACACACACACATCAAATAAATAAGTAAATAAATAAAAACAAATAGAAATAAGTGTAATGTAAAAGTCTTTTTTAAAGTGCCAAATGAATCACGGTTCAAATTTCTGACAACATATTTCCAGTTACTGCGATTTACAGCTTGGATCCAGGAATGACAATCTTAGAGGAATCAAAAGTTTAGGACACTTAGAATGTGGCCCTAAGTACCAAACTACGGAAGAACAGCCAAGACTGTGAAAAAGAAACCTAAAAACTCTTCAGAAGAGTTTAACCTTCAGTAACAGAACGAATAAGCAAATCAGTAAGGAATTAAATGGTACTGCTGACGTTACTTTTCTTTCTTTTGTCCCATGCTTGCTGAGATATCTAGCCCACTTCCCTCTGGGGGGTGCCCCAAGAGCCTGGGTTGTACGTCATTTCCCTGCATGCTTCTAGATAGATCTCCACTTCCACCTCTGCCCATCCGCACTCAAGCTCCCAGGCAGCTATCTTAATCTTGTTCCTCAAATGCTCATTCTCATTCCGTCTCACTCAGCTACTCGGAATGATCTCTCTTGTTCTCTTTAAGCCAGCCCACGTGTTAGAGGTGGCCTCCAGCTCTCCACGTGCAACCGGTCCCCATCCTGCCATGAACCCACAGTGAGACTTTGACTGGCTATCTACCACATGCCCATAAAACCGCTGAGCCCAGAATCCGAGACTTCTATGTAATTTAGCCCTTCCATTTACCGTTCGTCATCTTTTTCATGCAATTTGCAGTTTGTAGGCAGCACCATAATTGAGCGTTCAGATGCCTGTCAGTTGAACACCTTAGATTTCCGTCTCCGCAAGTCCTGACTTCTCAAAAGACTCTGGAATCTACTGAGCGGCTTTGTGTCTCTTTGTCCTCTATAAAATGGGGAATAATGATGCTATGTAACGGAAGTGTTACAACTACTACATGCAATTTAAGCAACGGGCAGGTTGTAAGAACTTTTTAAATCTTATTTTGATGTTTCTTTAGAATTAGTGAAACTGGCCATACACCAAGTCTTTACCCAAAACTATCTTGAAAACACAAAGGATAAGGATCTTACAGAACACGTGACATAATGCTTATAATAGCCTCAAGAATTCAGTTTGTTACCACAGTAACAATAATTATGTCTGTACACTAATTTTGACATTTCTAAGTGTCTACTGACAGGAAGTCTTCTTTAATTACATACTTTTGAATGTAAAATTAAAAGCATCCCAAACAGAAGTGAGAATTCTTTGGCGAAATTAAAAATTAAATCCTACTTCTGCCAGGGAAACAATACCTTCTCTATCATTTTTGTAATAAAACTACACAGCAACTGAGTGATAATAAAAACCAAGCAAATCCCAATTTATAGTCAGCATTTCAAATCCTTTCCGTTTCTTCTAGAAGCAGGTATCCCATAGCTAGTTGTTCCTCATGCTCACTGTACATAGCCAGTCTGGCTGACCCCTCTGCCTCCACTTCCCAGTTGCTGGGATTACTGATGCTTATCACCTCTCCTTGCTTCACATCTGTCTAAAAATAATAAACAAAATCAAAACCCTTACAAATAATCTAAGCTGGTAACTAGGTTCATTTTATACTAAGATCTTTTATTGTGTTGAGAAAGAGTTAGCTTTTGTGTTCTAGATGTGGAAGCAAATACTGCGACTCAACACGTTTAACAAGGTGAGGGTGAAGACGGAAAGCCTATAAGCTCTAGGGCAGCAAATGGGTACAGACATAGTATGCACGCAGTAGTCTGCTTTTTACTGCTGTGATAAAACATTGGTCAAAAACAATGTGGGGAGCATCACAGATGACAGTCTGTAATGGGAAGTCAGGGGAGGAACCTGGTGGGAGGAACTGAAGCAGAGGCCATGGAGGACTGTACAGCCCACAATGGGCCAGGCCCTCCCACAAGTGGAGGCCTTTTCTCAGCTGAGGGGTTCCTCCTCCCAGCCTGTCAAGTTGACAAAACCCCATCAGCACACTGAGCAGCAGATAACAACAAAGTGCTAAAATTCACCAAACCCTTTTTTCAGAACTTTTTGCTGGCAAGACGGTTCTGAATATTGGAGATGTAGAAATCTTTAGTCATGAAAATTAGCCTCTAAAATGGGTATTTATTTCTCCATCCCTCTCATCCTGATGGAGACACTCCACAGAAGGGACAAAACCTGCCCAAGGACACCAATAATATCGGTAGCAGGGCTGGGACTTGAATCTTTGACTTTCGTTATTATAGAGACTCTCAAAATCATCCCATCTCCTTGATGCCAGAAAATAGGAAGACTGACAAGAAAGGCAAAATCAAGATTACAGGTTGGATTCCATCAAGAGGTTGGTAGCAGCAAGAAACCGAGGATCTCATCCCACTATCCAAGTCTAGGTACACTATAGTGAAGTGTAAGAACCAGGGTTATCCTGGGGTGGAGTGGGCTATAAAACACCACAAATCATATCGTATCGGGATTAATAAACAAGAACTCAAGAAGTTCTCAAGGACTAAACTCCAAGAGCACATCGAATATTTAAATTGCCAGTGTTGCTAAAGCGTAACATCCTCAATCAAGATGTGTCCTATACAAAAAAAAGATCAGCAAATAAGATGGTAATGTTGACCAGCAAGATGGCTTAGCACAGTGGCTCTCAAGCTCTGTGCATAGCAGATATTCACTTTACGATTCATACAGTCGCAACAATACAATTATGAAGTAGCAAGGAAATAATTGTATGGTTGGGGGTCTCCACGACATGAGGAACTGGGCTAAAGGACTGCAGCATGAGGGAGGTTGAGAATCGCTGACTTAGTGGGGAAAGCTGCCTTCCACAAAGACTGACAACCAGAGTGTGGTCTTTAGGACCCACTTGGTAGAAGGAGAGAGCTGGCACACAAGCATGCGCAGTGGCACTCAGGATCACACAGATACGCACAGAGACAAATCCTCAGTGGCCCTCAGGATCATACAGATACACACAGAGACAAAACCTAACAAAGTGCTTAAAGGGATCCTTTGTAATAAATTTGCAAGAGCTCGTAGATTTTGTTTTTAAGTAGCTGATTCCTGATGAATATTTTTTGCTTTAAAGATTTCTCAGAATAAATGATGAGTTGGTGCATGAAATTTATCAAACAAACAAGTTTCCCAGCCTCAGCAGCCTGCCTTATGGATAGACATAAACTGACTGGTTTATGTCTTCCGGGCTTTGCAGCCACCTGCAGAACTTGAAAGGAGAACAGCATGCAGCTGGGAACAGACACATTCACGCCACCTGCAAGTGACTCCACATTTCCCGCGTTGAAATTCACATCTAGGGAAACCGAGACAAGGCTGAGTTGCCTCCACCAACCTGCACTTTTGGGGTGTGTTTCCTGAAGGCCCTCTCTCTTTGAAAACAGTGAGGAGGGGTGGAGGAGGATGGACCGCATCAGGAGCCTACTGCTGACATGTGGAGGTCTGGATACTGGAAACAATCCACAATGAAGGGGTGTGCTGTAGCTTCAGTTGCAAGCGCTGAAACAAAACACAGAGGTGGCACATTTAGGGGAGGGCTAGGCTGCAGGGAGGTGAAACCAGTAACAAATATAATAAGAACACTGTTTTAGTCAGATCAGCTATGAGTTCCTAAAGACTGCGTTATGGGAGGCTGGGAATACCAAACACAAAAGCTAAATGAAATAAACACAAAACCAAACAGCCGAGCAAGCCCCACGCTACATTTCTGCCCTTCCAGACTGATTTTCCAAAGGATCCAGCTCAATTTCTTGGAAAAAATATCGGGTTCAGCCCAATTAATCCAAAGCAGACTGGAAGTGAAAGAAGCAACTGTCTAACTTTCGGGCTCTCGCGCTCTCTCTCTATACGCACACACACACACACACACACACACACACACACACACACACACACAGCTTTGCTGCTAAATGCAGAAGTGAAAAGGGACTGCAAGCTCTCAAAGCCTTATGAGGTTGAGTGGGAGAAAGGAAGATGGGGGTGGGGGTTGAGAAGAACAGAAACAGAATAAGGAGCAAGAAGACGGCATGGGCACAACACTGCACAGCCAGCAGCCAGTGTCCGCTGTGCCACAGGCCAACTCAAAAAAAAAAAAAAACACTGAAAAGAAATTTAAGACTGTTCCCATACAGCTTTTTTTTTTTTTTTATATAAGGTTAACTGGAACGCAGACTAACCAACCAAAGTCATGTTTGCTTGCTTCTGTTAAAAACATTTGGGGGGGAAAGACCTCTTAGAAAACAATTATACAGAAACAAAAAGAGGGAGACTTTTATTTGTGAAGTCTAGATAAATAATTGTGCTGATTATAGAATCACTGAGTGCCAGGCAAAGATAGAGCCCACCAAAAATAGATTACACAGTTGAGCACATTGGGCTAGTTCAGTGTATGTCTAAACAAACACATGACAGGCTGCTGAGAAACACAAATCAGTGGATGTTCTGAGTCACAGGAGAATTTTGTTTAACTTGTCAAAAAAGATAAAATACTATTTTTATATACTATACTATTATCATATGTTATTATATACTATACTATTTCTCTTTTGATGTACCAAGAAATTGGGTCTTTTAGAACTCAGAAGTGGTGCTTTGGATGGCCACCCTTACACGCAACAGTTCTGTGAGGCAGAACTTTGAACTTAAAGAATTATCAATCACGATAAGCCTGTACATTTGTACCGAACTGCTTTCCATGAATATAAAGGACACAAAGTTCCTGGGCTTCTCTCACCTTCAACCAAATACCACTCAAGACTAACTGGAGTAAAAGAATCCCAATTATAATGCTGACAAGGTCCTTCAGGGTTCTTTAGTCTGAACAGATCATAAAGAAATAGCCAACAAGGTCATACCAAAACCAGCTGGGAGATGGAGATGTAGGTACTCCAGGGAAAATCATTTGGTCAAGAACGAGCCCAGTCTCACGGTTGAAGGATCTTCATGAAGAGGAACTCTGTGGTGTGAAAGCCATTCACAGAGCTGGGTCTGAGCTCCTTCTTTGGGAGAATTCCCTAAGATTTAGGCTCCCTAAAGATAATAACAGGTTTGCCATGGGCTAGTGAGTCACTCGTTACTAAAGATACTTACTCTGCTCCCCAGCCTACTTGGCAGGATTTGCAGAGCAGCACTTAAAAACCATTGGCATCAGCTGGCCAATTCTGATCTTTCTGCTCTGCGCCAAAACCTCATTGTCCTCCCTTCCAGCAGGCCCCCAGGTGATTCCAACATCACTCGTCCATGGCCTCACACTTTGTATAGTAAGGAGAGAACGCGAATGAGAAGCAATTTTTCCTAAATGCAGTCCTGTGGTTTCATATATACATATATGTACACATATCTATGTGTACACACATCCATATAGATATAGATGTACACACACACTCAAAGGTCCTTTCCAACCCTGTTTTGGGGGCAGATAGTTAATAACAGGGCAAGAGGTTTTATGAGGACATACCCAGTTCCGGAAGAAGTGTGACATCATGCTATTTTGAGGACCTTACAGTCATATCTTGAATACTAATTACACACAATTGCGAAGATGAAGTTCACTTCTCTTTTTTGCGAGGTTGCTTCGAAACAAGGGTTTCTCCGTGTATCTCTGACTGTCCTGGAACTCACTCTGTAGACCAGGTTGGCCTTGAATTCACAGAGATCTGCCTGCCTTTGCCTCCCTGTGTGCTGTTATTAAAGGTGCCAGCCATTTCTATTTAAAACAAAAACAAAACGGTACTCTCACCCTGAGCTTTGAAAGAAACCACAGCCAATAATTTACTAGTTTATGGTAATACAGAATGTGAAAAAGACAGCTCTAAAGTAATTATTCACGATGATTTCTATAAAATTGAGTACCTGTAAAAGGAAACGGTCTCTCAAGGCCTCAAAGGGTAGAGCTCTCCTGTGGCTTTCCGTTCTTTCCCTAGTCCTGCCGGTTCACCTGATACCCACCTGGAATCGATTGGTCGCGTTTTGCTTTACTCCCCAACTCATCTAGTAAACTGGGTTTTTCGATCAGTTCTGAACCGTATACAAAACCTTCCCTGGAGACATATACAGATCTGAATGTTGCCCATTTCTCAAACTGTAATCATTCTCTAGTTTCCCTCTGGGAGAAAATTCTATTGCAATGAACAAGGACCAAGGCAGACCTGCTGGCCCAAGTCTGTAATCCCAGCTATTCTAGAAGCTGGGACAGAACAGCTCCAAGGTCAGTCAGCCAGGACAACTAGTAAGATCCTGTTTCAACGTAAACAAATAGCAGTGGGGGGGGGGCTGGGGGGGGAGGAGATCTCGGTGGGGAAGTGCTTAGCGGGCTTCAGTGAGGCCCAAGTTTCCCAGTTCTGGGCAAAGAAGGGAAAACAATAAAACAAGCAAGCAAACAAAAAACCCAAACCACCTCTGCATTGCCTGAGTGAGCCTAGATCATTCCGTCCCTTCCAAGTCTTCTCCGCTACATCCTCTCTCTTGACCTTTTCAGATACTTTTAAAATAAAGGAATCAAGCTCAGAGATAGCACAAGACAAGCCTTAAGATCTGTGTTAGAAATTGTCCTGCTTTTCAGGGCAAATCCATGTGACAACATGCGCACCACTGTTAGATGATCTAACCCGAGTCACAAATGAGAGGTGTGTCTTAATTTAGGCTACTAGCTATTTATTACAAATAAACCATCCGTTTTTATTTTCACGAAACCATACATTGTGTATTTACTTTCTAATGTCAGTAGATTAATAATTCTTTTTTTGACAAATAATTCTTATAGCGGCAAATATTGATTGACTAAAATTCAGTATTTATTCAGTAAAATTAACTCAGAGCACTGCTTTCACCTCTGAAGTGACATCATTGACGCTCCATAAACAAACTCCCAGTGTCCTCTCAATGCCACCAGGGATACAGTGCCTCAGAGACATACATCAGCAAGCCATTCATGAGCATTTACCAAATTATGGCTGGGAGCCATCGGAACTAATCCAGGCAGGGAAAGCAAGACACATCTTCTGAAAGCTGAGTGTGAAATCACACGGAACAACATGTGGCCATGGTGGTGACCAAGGGAGGCGCCATGCCCGGGGTCATGCCAACCTGAGTGGACTACACTGCCAGCTGCGGCCAGGATGTCGACCAGGCCCTGGCTGCTGCTGGGGACCATATCTGGGTCTGTAGGAAGGAAGAGCATTCCAGACAGAGGGAACAGCACCTGCAATTTTCCGACAGGAGCCTGAGAGCAGTCACCAGAAACAGGGCAGAGAAAAATCTATTGGCATTTGCTGCATTTTTGCCTCAAGGACATTAGAATAAGGTACGCTGTCATTCGTAAGCGTAAGTTGTCTCTAACCTTCACACACACACACACACACACACACACACACACACACACACACACACGCAAGCTCATATGAACCTGTGATCATGCAAACACACATACGAAAAAAATGACAAAAATCTTAAGATAACAGATTTCTAGTTTATATGAACCTATGATAATGTTAAAAACAAAGCATCCTAGCTGGGTGTGGCGGCATACACCTTTAATCCCAGCACTAGGGAGCAGAGGCAGACAGATCTCTGAGTTCAATCAAGGCCATCCTAGTCTACAAGTTCCAAACAGCCAGGGCTACATAGAGAAACTCTGTTTGGGGTTTTATTGTTTTTTGTTTTGTTTTTGTTTTTTTTTTTTTTTTAAAAAAGGCATCCTAATGAGGAGGCAAATACATTTTTCTATCTCTTTCAAGAACCACGCTGACTGCAGGAAAATCAGCCGTGTGGAAAAGCAGATAAACTAAGGTTTCTCTGGAATGCTTGGTTCTATGTTCCGTCCAGAAAACAACCCAAAGTACAAACATAAAAACTGCCACTTTTTAAAAAAGAAAATAAAAAGGATTGTGAAGTATCTACTGTGCAACAGAGACAATGTTAACAGACAGGCAATTAAAAACTCAACAAAATGCCTAAGACCTAGTAACTGAAAATAAGGATCTATCTATTTGTGTTTGCTGCGTATTTTAGATCAAGGGCATTAGAACAAGGTATACTGCCAAGCTATATAGAATCCTCTATGGAACTCCTGAGCTTTCAACATTTTTATAAACAAACACCAAAAAAAGGGGCCAACCTCAAACATTAGATATTTCGAAATATATATAACAATTTACTGAATGTCCACAATTTTTCAAAAGAAGTGCATTTCTCTCAGGGTGGTTTGAGATGATTTCCAACAAAATACGCACCATTTCCAAGGTGGGGAATCAAAAGAAATTAGTGTTTCCAACCTAAGAAGCAATGCCCGCACACTGGAGTCTCCATGGAGTCCAGGTACTTGGTGCTGTTTTCACAAACAACTTCAAGAATGCTCTAGCACATTCCACAGGCAAGGCAAGATAGTGCCTCTCAATTCCTGGCTGAAGCCCAAGAAACCCTGCAGGGCTGAGGGAAAACCCTCCCAGGCTTCAGCAGACCTGAAATCCCATTAGCGCTTTAGTAAGAAAGCCTGCCAGAGA